AAATCAATATTGTGTTAAGGTATCTGCATTCGTGTCGATTTTCAGGATGCGAGCCCAATCTTGGCCGAAACCAGCTGTTCACACGCTCTTGATTAAAGACTAAAGCAAAAACTACACCTTTGTGGCCTTTTACCACCACCTGGACCGAGTGTGTTGTGATTTGGATGCCAAACGACGACACAGAAAACTCTCTGAAGCTGGGTTAAGCAGAAGAACATTTCATATGCGTTTAATCAAAGACACTGCCAGCCTGCAACATTACCGACAAACGGCTCGCATTTGCCAGAAACATGACCGCGGACCACCCAATCCAGTAAAGCAGCTTGTCTCGGCCTAAAAACAAGCATTACCACTGGATTCCAGAGTGGTCATGCTTTAATTTAGAGCTATTCCTGTTTTCTAAGCGAGGGCTGCACCTGCACAATGATTACGGATCAGAGCAATGCAAAAAAATCCTCATGTCTGGGCTCTGCTATCATTTGTTTATCATTGTAATACCAAGCACTCCTTGACTGATTTATTAGCACTGTAATTAGTAGTGTCTGTGCCTGTGTCGGCTGGGGTCCTTTGAACAAGTTTTCAGAGAAAAACAGCCTCATGCTGTGAGCTTGTTTTCCACTGCAGAGAAGCACCTGCGTCCCTTGACCCTGCGCTGGAGTTCGCCGAGTGTAAGACTCAGAGATATGCTGCTCTTGCCTAATGGGTGGATTGAAATACAGTGGTACCAAAAAGTATCTGGATGCCTAAACCACTCTGAATGTCATTGAATTAAATAGCAAAATATTGAAGCAAGTGTCATCTGCAATCTCCAGGAGATTTTCTTAGAACAAATTAACATTTCTTAGTCATCTTGCTGTGGTATTAGTTGGTTTTGTGGTGATTTTTAGAGTTTCTCAAACAGAATAATTGTTTTTATTTATTCGACGCTATATTGTTTTATTATTTCAAATCTAACAAACCTTTTCTTTTTGTCTTTTAATGCTTTGCGCTAAAAGGGTTATTGTGCTTAGGGTTATTTTGTTATGAAATGCAAGCGCTTGAGACGCTTGTATATAGTGTGAATATTCCATAAGACATGGGAGGCACAGCCCCCAAAGCATAATCAAAGTTTTAAAGAAAGGTTCCTGCTTCTTGTACCCCCAAAATGCAGATCTGATTCACTTCTAAGCCTAGATCTACAGCACTGAATTCTGCCCAAGTTATGCACACCAGTTTTGTCTTGTGCATGCAGTTGCAAAATGAAAGACAAAGTATCTGGCAAATTGAACATTTTAATGTATGTATATATATATATATATATATATATATTAACTTTATATTGAAGAAGCAGTCAGTTGCATATTACAGATTTCTCTGGAGTTTTCCAAGTGAACAAAGTTAATAAGCATGTCACATGCACGCACACTGACTCACAGCAAACTGACTGATTGGCTGATGCTGCACTCATTGAATCTGCATTTTGTACACCATAAACAGGTGCATTTGATATATTTGTGTGCATATACATAATTTGTGAATATATATATACAGTGTGTATACATAACCATATTATGCCAACAAATTTGTACTCAGACGGTATGGAATATATTAAAAATACACTCACTTTTTTTTTTTTTAAATGCAGAAAGTTTTAGGTAGGTTAGCATATGTAAAGTAGTATATAAAAACAGTATAAGGCTATGCAATGTCCACATTTAGATAGTTAAGTGTCCAGTAAACACCTTGAAGTGTCTTGACCTTGAGACTTACTTGAATTTAAACTTTCCTACCCTTGTTACTAATATGAAGAATTTAAGATAGGCTATCACATTGTAAACACATAAGTATATTAAGTTATCTTGAGATGGAACAATGCAGTTAATAAATATGCTATTTAAAAAAACAAAAAGGCAGCCGTTCCGCAGACTGGCCAGGTGCGCTAACGCGCCTACGATGCCCAACACCGCTGATTGACGGATGGCTCGATTGACGAATGAATGAAAGGGTGGATGGAGCTCTCACCGAATCTGCTGTGGTCCTGTCTGGTTCCGTGCACCGTCCCGTTGGGAAATATCTCCAGCTGGAAGCCGGTGCGGCAGTAGAGCTGTCTCCTGCGCAGGATGCCCTTCAGGTGGCCAAAATCCGTGAGCGACCCGCGCTGCAGTCTGCCCTCAATCAGACCCAATCTCTCATTCAAACCATCCGCCAGAGGCACATTCCCTAATGCTGGAAAAGCCTGCAAATCCAGATCGATGCTCCCGAGAAATCCAGCCACCTCTGCCATGGCGAGCAAACTTTGCGTGTTTAGAGAGCGGAGAGGAGAGAGACGCTCTTTTCATCCGTGATCAGACTGAACGAGTCATTTATATAGACATCCATATCCTCCCCGAGCCACGCCTGGATGACATCCCTGCTGCTTCACCTTCAGCATGTCAACGCAGAGCTTCTGCTCCAGCTTTCAGACCTGATGCTGCTGTCTGTGGCGGATCGTTCAGTCCAAGCACAAGTGAGTCTGATGTCTGCGTGTGCGTAAAATAGCGCTCAACCGGCAATCACTGACAAAATACCGAAGCCACGCAGTGCGTAAAGTTCTCCTGACTGTGTGTCTGTGTTTTATTGCTGTAATCGCAGTCTCTAGAGGAGTTTAGGGCTGCGTCTCAAACTCTATTGAGCTGCCTGCCTCCCTAGACTGCATTTCTTTTGGGTCTCACTGGCACTTGCAGCAACTTGTAACGCAGTGAACGCCGTCATTCTGCGTATCGCAGGCGCGTGCAGTAACCTGCAACGGTGAGATGCCTACCTTGGATTGTGCAACATTTTTGGGGATGGCAGGTGGTTGCAACAGTCCGGGCCATCATAACATTCAAAACCCAGTGAACTGCCTATCTAGACAACATAACTGTGCGTTATGGGCACTTTCTGAGTTAGCAGCGTTTTATCCAACAGTAACCCTGTAAAGCCTGACATATGAAATAATAGTCACTAAAATGTTAATATGGCCAAAAAGGCAGATGAAATTTAGATAATTTGTAATGTAAATGAATTAGGTCTTCATAGAAGACTACATGATATATAAAATGATATAAATATCATTTGTCCCTTTATATCTGCCAATATGTCTTAGAAAGATATTTAAATGCTTGGTTTTATTATTTGTTTTACATATAAAGCAAAGCAATACAATGATGACTGAGATGTGAGAAGTAAAGCTTAGATGCTTTAGTCCAGTAAATGTTCATCTTGAAATATTACTAACAATAAAAATTATTCTTACATTTGAAAATCAGTAAAGATTTCATAGCAAAATGACACATGAAGCACGATCTGAAAGGAGGAGGTGTGTAAAATTATACTAAAAGGCCTTTTACTTGCTAAAAAGTGTGTACTATCAATCAGATGACAGAAGGCATGTAAGAGATTGTGTGCAACTGGTTTTGATCATATCAAATATGATATGGTATAGGGTTAATAACTTCAAACTACTGTAAGCTGTTTACCTAGACTAGATTTTGGGGCATCATAAGCATTTGCAACATTTTTGGGTATGATAGATTTGTGCGTACCAAGATTTGGCCATTAAAGGCTGTTTTGCACAGTGTGAAAGCTGCCTACCTAAATCTCATTTTTAGGCATCACATTTGTGTGTATTATTTCTGGGCTTTAGAAGAATATTTTGAGTCTGCTCAATTTTGGGGGATCATCCAAAAACAGCACACACGTCTAAAATCGCTGTCTATAATTAGCCACTTAACTGGATTTTGAAGTTGCTGCATGCAAGTGATGCCCAAAGATGCTGTCTAGGTAGGCAGCTCTGTAGGTATTGAGACACAGCCTCAGTCTGAGGTTTTCGTAGATTTCCTTTCTCCACCTCCCCTCTGTAAGCAGGTGTTTCCTCCTCTCCAGACCAGCTGTTGGATATCTACTGCAGAAATTAAAGGAGCAAAGAAATACAAAAGGTTGATGATGTATTTTATTAAAGCTGAGCGGTACAGGGAATGCATGGCAGATGGAATTTCATCAAATGTGAAATGTATGCGTCACACGAAATAGGAATGAGAAATACACCAGATGACCACAAACTTCATATGGGTTCTTCTGTAGGAAATGATGCATGCTGAGTGCTGCCAGAGGCGACCGGCTAACCATGTGCATATCACAAATCAAGAGCAGGGTTGCATCTATAAAACACATCTCTGATGTGTCCGACACACTCATAAAGATATGGCTTGTCAAATATCTGCTCTGTGTTTAATGTCTGAATAGTTAAAGGTCAGTGTTGTTCTTATATGTAGCTCGGTATTTCCTATTGATAGATAGGACTATTGTCCTATTGACTATTGATAGATATGAGTTATGTCTTTTGATACTCAGATAGAATGATCTTAATGTACAGCATATTTGCTGTGAACTACAGGTTTAAAGCATTCAATTTTTAAAAAAATTGGAAACCTGTGCAATCAGATACATTCAGTGTTTCTCTCTCTCGCATTATTAGAATATACAAGAAGTCCCTATTTACATTTTTTTATTTTATGCACCTTATTTTGGACTTTTCTGAAGGTGCAGTGAGTCTATTTTAAATTGTTTTCTTAAAAATAAAAAAATCATTAAAAAAAATGTTGTAGAATATTTGCCAACCAATCAGAATCAAGCATTCAACAGCCCCATAGTATAAGCCCTATCATGTGATGCATGTGCATTTTTTTGTATGGAGCCCAGATTCCTTATACGTTTCTCACTGTTTTACACTCAATTGCCATCTGAATCAAAATATTTTTTTCCCCAGTTCTCAGGTATCCTGACTGAAAGTGTAATGGAGAATGTCTTTTGAAGTTCAAGCATTAGCTCATCAGAAACTGGTTTTCAGAAGTGGTGCCAGTCTCACATAGGCTACAATAAAAAAAAAACATCACCATAGTATTGAATGAACCCTCTGAGAGAGAGCCGTAGTTGATCATTAGCCCAGAGGGAGTGATAACTGAAGGTGGTCTATGGTGTGAGTGCAGTGCTGCCTCATGCTTTGAGCATTCACATGCACACCTTATCCAGTCATTTGCACAGGAACCGCTTGCGAGGACTCAGCAGGTTGCATTCTCGGTGTTAGCTGTAAAATTTAGAACTCGTGAAATTTAAATTCCTTTTTTTTTGTTGTTTCCTTTTTTAAAAAATCTATAAGGACATCTGTTGCTGGTCAGCTATATTTTATAGTTGACATGTTTGATTTATGAGTGAGTGTAGAAAATGTTCCCATGTGGGACATATAGGGAAGATAATGACCTCAAGATCATGCCTCATGCTCCAGCGCCTCTCTCACTCTTCACGGAGAATAAAGTCTTGCAAGTTAATCAAATTTGAGCCATGAATTGGGGTCAGTATCTTATTCAGTCAGTATTATTTGGTATTTTAGATATGTTCAGTCCTGCAGATTCTTGCTCTCGCTCTCTTAAAGGTTGCACCACAATCCTCCACCAGCTTATCTTAAACTTTTATCTGTATGGCATGTTAGATATAAATCAGTTGTCTTGTCTCTTCAGGTATGCCAGAACTAATTCAACACCTTTTAGAAGTGGCCAAGACTTTACCTTGTATTCAGGAGTTTAAACTGAGAACCAGACGAGTCCTCTGCACAATCTGACCAGTGTTGCAGCCTTGAATTAAACCATGCCATGCTGGTTTGGTCTGGCCAGAGGAGAACTGGCCCCCGACTGAGCCTGGTTTCTCCCAAGGTTTTTTCTCCATTTTCTGTCACTGATGGAGTTTTGGTTCCTTGCCACTGTCACCTTTGGCTTTTTTATTTGGGGACGCTTGACTGATTGCACAGACACCATTGAAAGAGAGCTGAACTGGATGATGACATCACTGAATCATCAATGAACTGACGTTAACTGAAAAATTAAAGAGTTCAGCCAAAAATGAAAATTAGCCCATGATTTACTCACCCTCAAAGCATCCTAGGTGTAGTGGCTAGATAACTTTCTTCTTTCACACGAATCCAATCGGAGTTATATTAAAAAAAAATATCCTTGCTCTTCCAAGCTTTATAATGGCAGTGGGTGGGTGTTTCTGTTCACTGTGAATAAAGACCTCCTGTAGTGAATCCAAAGCCACTAGAAGGCAAGCCTGCAACCTTTAGCCAAAAATGCATAACGGCTAATGCTAACGGAAAGGAGACCAGAGGCTGTTTTTTTTAAATGGATGTCAATGGAGGAGAGGCTTCACTACGCTGAATAAACAGCCTTTTAGAGGAAACGGCTCATCATTTAATGAATCGACAGCCTATCGGCTTATCTTCAACATGTTTCACACTACACAATACTTTTGGATTGAACTGTTTTTAGAGTTTACACCAAAAAAATGCCGTTCTATAAGAGTCACTGACTTTTTGCGACAGGTGGGATTCAGCTTATGGCATTTCTCATTCATTCCTATGGGATCCGTAAACAGCGACTGAGTGTCGCACAACTCTGACTGAAATTCAGTGATGTCAAGGCTGTAATGTGATTTGTTATTAAGGCACACATGATCCAAGTTGACCGTTACGCTTTCTCCAATAGTACGTATACAGACCCTCTCACCCCCCAATAGTAAGATAGTCTCTGGTGAATCGATGCGTTTTTGTAAGAAAAATATCCATATTTAAAACGTTAGAAACTATTTTCTCTAACTTCTGCATTTGTCACTTTTCATCAGTGCATGTGCTATGCATACGTCCTACGTCATCTACCGGAAAGACAGTAGGCTTGTTCGACTTCATGCGGTGCCGCAAAGATTGGCTGCCGCCTGACAAAAGCAATGCATTCTGGTTAGAAAATCTGTCCGACTTTGATCAGCACTGCAGCCGCCTTACGGTCACATGTGCCATCAAAGTACCGCGAGAGCAAAACGAGACCAGCCGCCGAGGTCAGGCGCTGCAGTTGCTCAAAATCGGCTGCGAAAGCCTTGATGACGACACACTTTATTCTCATTGGTCAGATTCTGTGATGACAAGCACGACATGTGTCGCGTTTATTCTAACAGTTCAATTCCAATAATGCTCACAAATCTGTGTTTTTATAACAGTAAAGCTTTTTTAGTGTAGTCGCACTGTTATATTGAGTCACGTTTATCCAAAAACACTGATAAAAGCATATATACCCCCACTTTATATGTTTCTGTTGAACTTTATTCATGAACAGATGGTGCTGTATTAAGCAGTATATAAAAAGTGTTTCTGTTGCTCATGAAAACGTTTCTGAAATGTCTGTGTATTTGACAAATATTGCATTTAATTCACTTCCTCTGTGATAGAGTATGCAAACACCATGCGAGCGTCACTACCGGGAGCAGAAAGTGTCCGACTTGACGTCTCCGCTTTTAATTCCGCCCCGACTGCAAGCGGTTACTCTCGCCAGCCGCTGGCAAGCTAGTGTAGTTCATCTCGAACAAGCCTAGTCTCTCGTGAACGTGCGTACGACAGTTAGCGGAAGTTAGAGAAAACGGTTTATAACGTTTTAAATATGAATACTTTTTTATAAAAACACATTGATTCACTACAGGCGGCCT